CTAACCTCTTTAGGGTTTTGGAGGAAATATGGAAAAAGATGAAAGGATTGTAAAGAGTTATTAAATTAGGTAAGAAATGTATCGGTCCATTAAGTCGTATATATTTACCGTTACCACAGTTGGACCTCGTCAGTACGACGTCTGTGGTAACAATATAATTTAGTGAGGTTTAAGAATTAAATAGATGAAAGAGGTGAAAATCGGAAGAAATGAAAAGGGTGGAAGAATTGGAAGACCTTAAAGAAATAGAAGAAATGGTAGGAATAGAAAAGATATGATGTTATTAAGAAGTAAAATCCAATTTATTACCTGCTAATTGCTCGTTATTTCCATTAATTGTTTGTCTTGTTTAATTATAAAATCGGTAGAATGAATAAGTCTGTGATAAATAGTTATATTTGTAATTGTACGTAAGTGTTAAAATCTACATCGATAACGAAATTCATAATATTAAAAGGTAAATAATGCAGTGTTTAATTAAATAAAATAAATAAGTTTAATACTAATATATGAAGTGAGATGTAATAATAGCAAATAGTACAATTGTTGCCTCTTATCACCCTTTTCCGTTCCCATCTTCTTTCAAAAACATACTTCGTTGTTCCCTTCCATTTTCCCACATATTTTAATGCTGAAACTGTTTTTGTTTTATAGACAATCATTAAGATATCTTTATCCGCCTTCGTTTTATCCCCTTCACTACTATGTCAGTAAAAAAAGCATAAGGATGGAAGTAGGCAATAAAAAATCTTTTTTCTAAAAAACATGGAAAATATCTTGAGGCCGGCACAGGCGTCATTTTACTTCTGGTAAAGAATGGAACGACTTGAAATGGCATATTGTGTGTACCGTTTTAAGGTGTACGATACTCGCTGTCGATGGTTGAAAGACAAAATGAAAATGGTATGATGTTTTTTTTTTATGAATTATTGACTTTTGTTTGTGCTTTTTTAACGAAATTCATACTCTTCGTTAGGGATAAGCGACGCGCAGATACTATTGGACAGGGCATGTTGCTCGCCTTGAAAACAGCCTATGGATTTTGCATTTTGCATATTACTAGAAGTAAATTGAACTACTACTTGTACGGCCTTCAGAAAGTAATACATCGATGAGGCGGTTAAATATCAACTGGCATTATATAGCTCATGACCTGAAGGCAGCGACATAATTGTGCGCGACTTGTGAGAACATTCCAGTAAGATCGCCATAAGGAAACTTTCACACCTAAGTTTTAGCCCCTTCTGCATTTATGGTTCCGGGAAGGTGATAGTAGAATGGGAGGATTCCACCAAATTGGCTTTTTTTCCCATTTTCTATGAGTTTTTTACATCTATACAATGTTGAAATCGCACATTGGCCAGGGGTTGTCTGTGTGTGCGTCTCTACCAATTTTTCATCTAGAAACCTACCAAAGCTACACAGCTGAAACATTGGGAATTTAGTCTACATGCGTGTACAGCCCCCATCTCCGAAATGGGTACTCTTACCCTCGTGGTACCTACGTACGGGCCCGTGAGAATTTTTTCCGGGTAAGTAGCTAACTGGGGAACTTGAGAAGCTAGAAGACTGGGATTTTAAGGAGATTTTCCCCATCCAAATAGGTATTAATGACTTCAAACCCAACGTTTAGGTATGCGTGGTTCCGCGAACATTTTTTTCGGATAATCTGCTAACTCGGAAACCAGAAAAGCTAGAAAGCTGAAATTTTATAGGGATGTTTTCAAACAGCCTTGTTGGCCAGTCTTACATTTGCAGAAAAAACTAGTCACAAAAACCTGTGGAGAACTATGCAAAAAACGCACCTTCGCACCGGCAGTCGGTGCGCTGGCCATTTATTTTGTCATTTTGTAACTGATTTGTTATGAAATACTGGATCTTTCTTATTGGTCGCTTGAAAATTGAGTTGTCTTTATCATAAATTAATAGATATTTGTTCCAGATAATTCTGGGGAAGCTCCAGATGAATCAGCCGCTGCCAGGTATGTTATTGTGACGTTTTTAAATTGTAAGTTTTGATATGCATGAATGACAGTCTGTTTCGGGCTTATTTTTGTACTCTCTGTTGGCAGTCCAGATCTGATGTTATTACCAAAACTATCTAATGTTTTTACCAAATGAGCAACAAATTTGTCTGAAAGAAACTCATTTTTAAGCGTTTTGTGCTGTATAACAGCAGTACAAAACGCACATTGTCGCGGGGTTGTCTGTGTGTATGTGAGTGTGTGTATATGTGTGTGTGCCCGCAGCAACTTTCATTTCGGGAACCACAAAGGCTAGAAAGTCGAAATTTTATCGAAATTTTACCTTCCCCTGCCCTCTGGCACCGCGTACGACCCCGTAAAAGTTTTGGCGAAGGAAGTATTATCTCTGGAAGTATAATAACTAGGATACTGAAGTTTTGGAGTAATATCCCCTGCATACATACGACCACTGGCAAATTTAAATTCAGCCTTCCCACATGTTCAAGTATCAAATACGGTCCACTAAAAGTTTTGACGGGGAAAATTATTATCTCGCGAATCACAAGAGCTAGGGAGCTGAAATTTTACGATAATGTCCCCTGCCCAAGTACAACTCGCAACTTTAGATTTAGCTTCCCCCTACGTCTGGACACCACGTATGATCTTGTGAAAGGTTTGACGGGGAAAAAATTATATTGAGAACCACGAAAGCTGGGAAGCTGAAATTTTATGCCATTGTCTTCTGTTCACGTACGACCTGCAGCGTCTCCGTGAATGTTTTGGCAGGAGAAATTATTAGTCGGAAAGCAGAAAATGTAGGAGGCTGAAAATTTCAGAAGGACGTTTTCTGTCTATGCGAGGGCCATACAGACTCAAGTTTAGTTCCCAAGTATGCCGAGTAGTTTGAGTGTTTTTTGCGCTTTAACTTTTACGTAGTTACACGCACGACCACATAAAAGTTTTGACACGAAAAATAACACAAAAGCTATAAAATTGGGAGATTGATTTTAGAGGGCTGTTCACTGTACAAGGTTTTAGTGGGAAATTTCGCAACTTAAGAACCAGACAACGTTTCAACTATTCCTGCCAACCAAAGTGTAAAACAGCGGAAATTCCTAGCAAGCAAACGATCGCTGAACGGAACTGCTCAAAACGCATAATCGCAACGGCTACCTTCTTACGCGCCGCTGTTTTTTCCTTTTGCTTCCTAAATGGCTAGGCGTGGCATTGAGCATATATTCTTTT